GGATTGCTTATATTCAAAAAAAGCATAGAATGGTGGAATATAATTTAGGTTTTTAGTTAACTTGTTCTTTTTTTATATATATATTTCACCTACTTATGTAGAATGATATTTTGTGGAGTTAGGGATATTAATATTAGTTTACTTTTATTTGAATAGTATCCTGGGATTAGGTTTGGGAAGTCCGGGGTGGGGGGTGGGGGGTGGGGCTTTTTTATAGCATTGTGATATACTTGTGATGTTTTTTTATGATGAAAATAATAAAAAATTTATACTTGGAAAAAGATCTGCTGCAGGTGAAGGGCCCATATTCTACAAAAAAAATTCTTTATTCAGGCAATCCAGAGAAGTGGAACTTTGCAATATGTACTAAGTATGCAACATGAATTTACAGAACAGGAAAGAATAAGATATAAAATATTGCACTGAAGCCTGCCCTCCCTCAAAATAAAGGATCTTGTTCATTAATCCCATGTTTAAAAAGATCAATAGCCACTGCTGCATAAATTTTTAAACATATCCTCAACCATTAGAACTAGAATGTGAAGGTAACAGGGAAGAAGATTTAGAAAGAAAAACTAGACAATACAGTATTTCGGAGTTTTTTCTTTGCAGAGCTTTAAGCTTTTTGGGGAAGGGGGGAAGAGGGGGAAATTAAGATCTGCAGCATGGAGGACTAGGTTAATTCCATCTTTATCACACTTATTTGAGGCACATAGTGTACACATTACTGTTTGCCCTTATTAAAATGTTTAATACAGCAAATCACAGTGTTGCCTCTATTAGAGAAAAGATGGGAAACTGCCTATCTTCTAAGTGGAATTCTAGTCAAATCTCCCTCCCTCACAATTACTTTTCAAAGAAATTAAAAAGAGAAATACAATCTGCTAATAGATCTCCAAGGTTTTATTAATACTCAAAGTACAATTGTGTTTAATAGGCTTCAAAGTGTTCCTCTGAGGCAGGGGTGTCAAATTGCCGGCCCATGAGCCAGATGCATCACATGGAAGCCACGCCCACCCCAGCTCCGGCAAGGGGGAAAAAAAATCGCAACACGTCACAACACGTCACACCCCTGCTCTGAGGTTTCATAGATTTCACCTCTGAAATCTAAACTGGCAAGAGAGAACCGAATCCCAATAAAAATATCTCCAGACCATGACAAAGCACCTTAGAACATTATCATCTCTACTACAAACTAGAAGCTGATGTAGTGAATGATGCAGACAGACAAAGCTGGAAATCTGTTAGAGGAAAGGATGAGAAGTCACTAACCTCCTCAGGCGTTGCCTTCAGTTCATGTAATGTATACTCATAAATCTTGGGATCTGGTTTCTGCAGGCCAATCCGACATGACTCTATCACCTTGTCAAAATATTTCCTCAGCAGACATAAGGCAAACCCTGTGTGATGCCTGCTAGGAGTATCATCAATCCAGTTATTTGTCAGGACAGCAATTCTGAAACCTGAGAAGGGTAAGAAATTGAATAGATGAGGAGGAATGAAAATTGTTGGGGGCAATATGCTGACTCTGTAAATCACTTAGAGAGTGCTTTAAAGCACTGGGCTGGAGACCTGGGAGGAGAGCCTCGCATTTTGTAACAATTGGTGAATGTGATTAATGACAGCACATTGGGGTGGGAAATGCAATTGTAACTTTGTAACCAGGGGGAGGGGATTTTTAGTCTTGGGTTCACCTTTGTATGTGCCGATATCTTGTTTTCTAAATAAAATGTTCTTTAAGGAAGAAATCCTTGCCTTGAAGTTCTTTTAAATGGTTTCATCTATTGGAACCATGACAGTCATATTAAGAAAAGTCTAGAAGTTTAGAGCCCATTCTGAGCTAACCTGCTTATTACTCTTTCTTGCTGAATAAAAAAAAAGGGGAGGAGACAGCTGATATCTGTGAAAATATCACTTTTGGTTCCCATCCCAGAGTCATGAGCCACCCAATCAAGGTCAGGTCTTGCAATTTCATGATCACAGCAGGGCCATGAAATCATGGTGCCAGGTTTTGATAAAGACCATGAGGTTGTTATAGTTTGTTGGAAGCTTCTGCCTAGAACCTAGCATTAGGTATTGGCTGCCCTTGAGGTATCTCTACTGTAGTTATTAAGGCGTTCCTAACACCTTGTAAGAGATTTGGCTATCATCTGGTTTGGTATGTATGCTTTTCATTTTATATTTTTAAATTTGTATGTTTGAGCTAATAATAAAGCTTAAAATTTATTTATTTACTGGTGTGCTTATTATCTCAGGATCCAAAAGAACCAATTGCCTGGGCATTTGATCACTACCCTGACACTTGGCAGAAAAATATCATATATATTTGAGAGCCAATTTGGTGTGATGGTTAAGATGCTGGCCTAGAAAACAGGAGACTGTGAACAACAACAACAACAACAACAACAAATGATAATATTCATATGCATGAATAAGCTAACCTTGAATTTTTAACCAAAATAACCCTCAAAATGTTTGTACATTTTAATTTTCACAATTGGTTTATAGGCAGGTGGCACATTTTTCACAGTATTTTGGCCAAAGGTTTGAAGGTCAGATTATCTCTGAGAATATATGGATATTTTTTAAAAAATTACCATATATACTCTCAAATAAACCCATAGATGGATAAGTGAAAACCAATCTTTGTAGTAGTATTTTACAACCTAAAATTCTTTGGCTTATCCTTGAGTATCTACAGGAATGATTCTTAAAGCTAAAATAACTATAAAAAGCACAGAGGACATGCACCTTCTTGGAAAAGGCAATTTACTCTTTCCCCTTCATTCTCATGCAGAGAATGGAATGTGTCTTCTAAAGGAGTGGTCACCTTCTCAAAAAAATAGAGTATTTTGTTTAAAAAATACTGAATTGATTTGACAATAAATAAAGTGAAATAAATAGAGCAGGCATTATGCCACTGCCCTGCACAACCGAAGTTTTACCATTTTTCTTGAGAAGCATAGCAGCCTTCAGGAAGGGTACACTAAAGCCACTTTTCGCCATCATTTCGACAAAGTTCTCGCCCAATGAGAAGTTTTCAGGGAGGGGGATATTAGAAGTAGAAGAAACTTTCTTGCAATCATCTTCAAAGTCAGCAATAAGCTAAAACAGAGATTAAAATACAACTATTTTTATTTTAACACAAACAGAGTGGGACAGAATAAAGTGATAAGGATATCCATTGTAAGCATATTAAACAAGGAAGATGACTTGGTTAGGAATAGAAGTGGAGATACTTCATAAGCTATAAAGGAGTCTCTGGTTTGGGCTTCCTGAAAAATCCCCATATGATGGTTCCTAAATATTATATTTCTAAGAAGTGAAACTGATGAGAGAAAAAGTAACTGTTCTCACAATAGAGAGAACACTGTGCCAGCATAGATCAGATGCCTCCCAAGGCCATCAAGAGAATGGTCAATAATCCACTTGAAACATGGGGAAAGGGGGAAAAGTCTATAATTTAAATCCCGTATCATCAACCATGTAAGAGATTTGGTTTACATGTGCTTCAGTGGTTAGAATTTCTATGTGTGCATTTTTGCCTACAATGAAGACATAATTTTACTGGGTAATATTTTTGTGAGCTTTTTGCCAAGACAATGTCTGAATATTTTGTTTTATTTTATTTATTTTTCAATTTAAACACTGTCTCATTCCACACTGACTGCAGAGAACAAAATAAAGCATGCAAGATGGGAATCTGCCCAAACAACAGAGAAAAATATATACAAAACATAACTATCAAGAGCCGCCATGCACGCTAGCCCAAGACTTGGGAGGTCAGATATTTAAAGGCTTCTGGAATGACACAAAGGTGAGAACTACATGGATCTCAGAGGGAACCTCATTTCAGAGGGCAGGCACTGCAAAAGAGAAGGCATACTTCCTGGGTCCAGATAGATTGTGTTGTTCAAAGAGACCAGGAACATGGTAACCCTGTAGGTTTCTACTGACTGGGCAAAATTACAGGAGATAAGTGGTCCCTCAGATAACCAAGCCTCATGCCACATAGGGCTATGTAGGTGATAAGTAGCATCTTGAATCACACCTGGAGGCACAGTGGCAGTTAGTACAGCTCATGAAACAGAGGCATCCCACAGACAAACCCTTAAGTGTTTGGAGACCTGACATTTATAGATATGTCTCCATGAAGCATGACACCATGGATGTTAGCATTGCATTGATGTGGTACTGTCTATTCTGAAAGATCTCATTCTCCCACCCCACTTTAAGTCCAGTCTCAGCAAAAGATCATTCATCCAGAGTTCATTTTATCTGGCTGTACTAGGAACTGAACCTGGAATGTCCTGTGTGGCCAGGAGATCCCAAGTTAAAACATATCCTAATTTCTTCCTACTCCCATCCTTTTTATTTTTTATCATTTTTAATAAGATTTCTAGTGATTAATTTGTTGCTCCAGGAGCCTTTTTAGCTGAAAAGTGTGATATAAATACACATTAATTAAAGCAGTCTCAGACTATAGTGAAAAGTGGCTCCATAGTGCTTTAAAGCACTCTCAAAGCGGTTTACAAATGTCAACATATTGTCCCCAACAATCTGGATTCTCATTTTATCAACCTCAAAAGGATGGAAGGCTGAGTCAACCCTGAATCAGTCAGGATGAACTCCTGGCTGTGGGCAGAGGTTACCTGCAATATTGCATTCTAACCACTGCGCTACCACGGCTTCATTACTTGACTAGGTAGCAGCATCAGTGCTACATCTGCTAGAAAAACAACCAAACTCAGAGAGCACTAAGGACGTCACAGTTCAACCCTGAGCTACAAATATTTTCTTCTATTGGTAAAACACACATTGGAAGTAAATGGTAAAATATTTATATTCAGTAAGGGTTTCTGATGTCTTGAGTATTTTTCAACAGCAAACTTGGATTGTTAATCTATTTCAGTGTTCCTCACTTATAAGTATAAATTCTAATTGATGGCTTATGATCAATTCTATAGATAATGAGTTTTTAAACTGTGTATTAATGTCTGATCTATAGAAACTCACAAACCTTTTCTGATCCATAAGGCTATCTAGAATGCTCAGGTTCAGGCATTCACACAAAACAGCCATCTTGGAGGGATTATCTGGTAAATAGGGACCATCCTAGCCATTGGCCTCATAGGAGAACCAAGGAAAGACTGACTAGTGGATGCCAAGAAAGGCTTTGCTAAGCTCAGTGATATTTATACGCATCATCTTCATGACTCACACAATGTTGATGACAATTGCTTCACTCCTACACTGTACTTTTGCCCTGCTCTAGGGAAATCTCAGAATTCAGCCTGAAAAAGGGTTCCTCCAATAAACCTGGTAATTGAGCATCTCTGATCAAAAGCAAGTGTACCACCCAAGATCATCTGAAGAGTGAAAGGCAAGGATGTAGCTGAAACATCTTGTAATGTATTAAATACAACAAGGAACTGTCATGATATGTGGTGGCACTGTGGTTAGAATGCAGTATTGCAGGCTGACTCTGCCCACTGCCAGGAATTTGATTCTGACCAGCTCAAGGTTGACTCAGCATTCCATCTTTCCAAGGTCGGTAATATGAGGATCCAGATTGTTGGGGGCAATATGCTGACTCTGTAAATCTCTTAGAGTGCTGTAAAGCATTGTGAAGCAGTATATAAATCTAAGTGGTATTGCTATTGCTGTTAAATAGTTTCTGTGGTATCCTGAATAATGTGAACCAGACTCATCTCACCCATCCCTTTTCTGCTCTATGGAATTCCCTAGCCCTGATGCACAGAAACCCTTTGTGTAAAGGGAGATAGCCAGAAATGGAGCATTGGTATTTATGTCTTCAGACAACTTGTTCTTCCTTGAACTATGTTCTCTTCCAATAGCAGCTAACTCTTACCTGAGTTAATCCAATCTGTCCAGTCATCCCTTTTGAGAAAGGTCCATCAGAGCCACCATGCCGAATGACTTTTTGAAAGAAATCTCTGGAAGTTGAAAAACACATTCACATAAATTAGGGGAATAATGGTTCTTTTCAAGGCAGACAGCAGTTGGGCTTCAGTCATCACACCAATGGTCTGGATGGGGAGGAACAGACTCAGGCTCAACCCTTCCAAGACCGAGTGGCTGTGGTTGCCGGCGCCTCGGCATAGCCAGCTGACACCATCGCTGACTATAGGGGGCGAAATCTTGGCCCCCTCAGAGAGGGCACGCAACTTGGGAGTCCTCCTGGATTCGCGGCTGACATTGGATGACCATTTGTCGGCCGTGACCNGACCGGTACGCTCCCACAGAGTGGGTCTCCTCAGGGTGCCGTCGGCCAAGCAATGTCGGCTGGCGACCCCCAGGGGGAGGGCCTTCTCTGTGGGTGCCCCTGCCCTCTGGAACGAACTACCCCCCGAGATCCGGACGATTCCGGATCTCCTTACTTTCCGCCGCGCCCTCAAGACATGGCTTTTCCAACAAGCGGGCCTAGCCTAGGGAGGATTTTAAATTGGGTTTTTTAGAAAATTTTAACATCACAACTCTAAAATATTTGGTTTTAATTTGGTTTTATTTGGTGGGGATTGTGGGTATGTTTTTGTTTTAATTATGTTGTGAGCCGCCCTGAGTCCCGTCGGGAGAAGGGCGGGATATAAATCAAATAAAATAAATAAAAATAAATAAATAAATAAATAAACACTGTGCATCTAAATACCAAACTATAATTAATCAGACCTTGCTACAGCAATATCAGTAAAATGCAATGCAAGTCTTAGAAAAATATGAATGTGTTAAATTCCCATATGCATGTCCCAAGATAACATACATTTAGAAATGGACTGACCTATTCAGTCCAATAAGAAAAGAAATAATAGATTTATTCATATTTTCTGGTTCCTATTCAGAAACTGACATTATGAAAAAAAATGTAAGAGTCACTGTTTTGAGTTAGTCCTTGGTCTCTTGCCTTATACAGCAAAATCAATCTGAGGACATTTGTGGAGGACTTCTTATAGCTACATACTAGGCTTAAATGAGTATTATTGGAATATGGGTCAAATAAAATCTCTTTCAAATCTAGTAATATTTCCGAGAGCTACTAATGAATTTGCACAGACATCCAAAGAACCTTTATAAAGCAGGAAGATGTTTAAAGAACACACATTATCCCATTTTATACTGGAAATCATATACTGTTTTGATAGCTCTTTATAATGGACTACTATGAATGACTAGCACATAGTTGTGTGTTGCTCAACCATGATCTATCTTACTTGAATCTGGATCTTACACAACCATAACCCTATGCAACATTAGCTCTCAAATATGATTTAAGCGAGAGCATCCTAATCCTTTCAGAAAGATTGCAACAGCGCTTATACAATGAAATATTCTGCATTATGTTGAAAGGAGAAAAAGATATAGTATGGTGTAACCATGGAAAATATCAGCAAGCCTAAAGTATAACTAGGTATAATCTTGCTAGAACTATAATTTCACCTATTTGGAATCTCAATACAGAGCACAATTATTCATATAACTAACAGTCATTTAGATTGGGGTGGAAATCTAAATGTTGTAAGCCAGAGGTTCCCAATCCCCAGGCTGTAGCCTGTTTGGAACTAGGTTGCAACACATACACCCACGCAGCTCCATTTGCACGACCGGCAGACACGTGTGCCTGCTGCTTGTGCAACTGGAGCAATGTGTGCACACTTGCCCACCACTTACATGGAAACATCCCCTCTTCCCCCACACCAGTCCGCAAAGCTGTGTAAAACTCCACTTGCACGAGCGATAGGCGAGCACACATACGTGCAGCTCCATTTGTATGAGCGGCAGGTGTGCATGCCCAGCGCTTGCGCAAATGGAGCAGTGTGCGCGCTTGCCCAGAACAATCCCCCCCCCCACTGGTCCACAAAGCTGGAAAGGTTGGGAACGCTGTTGTAAGAAATCCAGAATCCCTTGATAGTGAGATGGGCAACATATGAATTTAATAAAGGTAGCCCTAAAAATTCAATTTATTTGTATGCCACCTAATTCACCATTTTTTGTTCCTATAATCTGAAAGTGACTTTGTGTAAGTACTGTCACACCAGTTTGGAGGAAACCTTTTCTTGCAAATCCTCCAGATAAGAAAAAAGGTACTTAGAACTCATTACTGCACTGTTCGGTAGCTACAACTTTTTTCTGCCTGGCTGTTTCTCTAGTTCCAAATTTTTAAATGTGTCTAGAATCCATCTTAAATTGTTTAAATCCATATTCTTTATTTTCAAAGACTTTTTAGCTTTGGATTTAAACGCACCTCTGTACTTACTATATATACCTCAAAGCATCTTTGTTATCTCCATTCCCTACAGCAGTGGTTCTCAACTTGTGGTCTGCAGACCCCTGTGGGGCTGCGATATCATCACAGGGGGCCCATGAAGGCTTGTGGTCTGTGGCCACAAAAGGTATTTAAAGGGGGACCGTGGTGAAGAAAAGGTTGAGAACCACTGCCTTACAATACAGTACTTCTAGCAACCTCAAACGATCATCTATTTAAGCCTTACTTTTTGTCCTATGAATTTGCATTTGCCCCTCCAAGTTTCTTTCTTCTAATCAGGCATCCAGATACAATACATTCTATATGCTGGTTTTCAAGCTCAGAACCTCAGAGTAATCATTGAGTAGGATAAGCTATGCCTAAAACCTATAATGTAAGGAGTGGCAGATTCTCTATAATTTCTGAAAACTGCTCCATGTCTTCAGAAAGTACAAGGTCTAATCTAATCTAGCCTAACTTAGTTTAACTATCTTTCTGACATGCTATTTTTCTGAGACAAAAGTTAATACAGGCAGTCTTTGACTTACAGCCACAATTGTGTCCAAAAATTATGTTGTTACGTGAGACATTTGTTAAATTAGTTTTGCTCCATTTTACAATCTTTTACAATCTTTATGGTTTTTAAGTGAATCTGACTTCTCCATTGACTTTGCTTGTCCAATGGTTGCAAAAGGGGATCACATGACCCTGGGACACTGCAACCGTCATAAATATGAGTCAAATAAACTAAAAAATAAATTATCTCTGCGGGAGATGGGGGTTTAAGAAATATGAAATATAAATAAATATATAAATAAATAAAATAAAGTACTGCTTCACACTTTTTGTGATATTTTTGGTTGGTCCCAAGAAAACTACTTCTCAACACCTTCAACTGGATCTTGCTAATTTGCATTAAAGAGGATCCTTAATGTATAACTCCCTTCAACTCTTGTTATGGGAAATTTGAATGCCCATTATAACAATAAATTGTGGGTTAACAAAAATTGCCTAGGTCTTCATGTGATATATGAATATTTTTATGTTCTTTTGGATAACTTTTTAATAATTTATTTGGTTGACTTAATTTACTGTGAGGATCCTACTCTCAACGTGGAACAAGCTCATATAATTCTTTAATATGCTTGTGATCACATGCTTTATGTTAAGCTAGAAAAATATATCTTTGATTTGTCTCTATTGCATTATTAAGACTATCATATTTCTTTGGAAGGAATTTAGATGAACCAATTAAAGTAAATCTGTTCTGAATGGGAAATCCTCCCTCCCCCTGTACTATGAATGGACTTTTTTTTAAAAAAAGCAATTATCTAATTTCAATTTGCCACAAAGAAGAGGAAGTCAAGCTATTCTCCAAAGCACCTGAAGGCAAGACAAGAAGCAATGGATGGAAACTAACGAAAGAGAGAAGCAACCTAGAACTAAGGAGAAACTTCCTAACAGTGAGGACAATTAATCAGTGGAACAACCTGCCTCCAGAAGCTGTGAATGCTCCAACACTGGAAGTTTTTAAGAAGAGACTGGACAGCCATTTGTCTGAAATGGCAGTGCTTTTTTTCTAAAAAAAAAAAAAAAAAAAAAAAAGGTGCCGGAACTCACACACATCATACAACCCGCCTTGCCTACCCTACAAGATTCCATCCAAAAAAGGTGCCAGAACTCCATTCTGGGCGTTCTATGAGAAAAAAAAGCCTTGTGAAATGGTATAGGGTAGTCTGCCTGAGCAGGGGATTGGACTAGATGACCTCCAAGGTCCCTTCCAACTTTTTTTATTATTATTATTGTTATTATACTTTATTCTTACTTTTTCAGAAGGATAGGAAAGCTGTTCATAGGCCCTCTTGGTAAAAAAGAGTCTTTTATGTATACAAACCCTACAATAAGCTCTGATAGAGCATATTGCTTAGGAGACCAATGGTCATCCCGATTTTCAATGTCATTTCCTCTTAGGCAGATCTCAGATTCCTATGCATTATTATAAGGATAATAATGTTCTACCAAACTGAGCTGTTATACATAATATCCATGGGAAAAGCAACAACTAGTGCATTATGTCTCAAGGAAGTAATTAAACAAATACCTTAAGAAACCTGTGATGATTTTGCAATACTATAAAACCTGCCTTGGTTACCCACAAAGCTAACAAAATAAGCTGTGTGAATCAATATACAGAAGAAAATATTATTAACTAGCTTAGAAAGTTCCAAAATTGGCACCAGGTATCCTCTATACCCATGTTTTGTAAAGCACGGTCCAAGGAACTCTGAAGGTCCCCCTCCCCAAAGAGCCTCCCAGGGTTTCACAAAATCAAAATTATTTGCCAGATAGTGAAGATACTAGCAAACATTTAAAACAATGTCATTTTCTGTTATTATTTGTTAAAAATATAGGTATTTTCATGATTTTTTTAATTTTTGTTAATATTGAATGGTTTAATATTGTTATTTTTACATGATTCTATAAACAAATGCATCTATTTTAATTTTCAATGATAAATATTGATAAATATAACTCACAGAAGCAGAAGACAATTTGGGGTCATCCCTAATTTTTAAAAATGGGAAGGATCCTGGGGCCATCAAGTTTAAGAAACACCGATTTATACTATCATCATCCCAGACATCTAGAATCTTTGGAAAGACTCTTGGGCTTGACAATTACAGTGGCCCCTGCCCAATGGGATACAGCCCCCTTCTATGTCCCAAAGGTCTTTTTTCCCTCTCTCTCTCTCAAAAGGCAGCTGACCTTTGTTTTTCCTTGACAAAGTTTTGCTTCTCATCCAAGAAGCTTCAAGGAAAAAAAGTCCAGTTGCCTTTTGAAAGAGAAAAAAGCACATTTGGAACAACCGTGACCTGGATGACTGAGAATCTCCATAGACAACCCCTTTTAAGGTATTGCAGAATCTCAACATTGCCATCCTTTAAGCTAAATTAAATCTTCTTATACTGGCCTTACCAAAGCAGTAACTTCCAATATATAAACTGCCTTTTCAATGGACTGCTTTTATAATGGTTGTAAACTACTTTGAGATGTTTACAATAAAAAGCAGCATATACATCTTAAATCAATTAGGGAACAGTCTGCCATGACAAATCTTAAGTACAATTATTGTGCATTATTTCCTGATTTACTTTTCCTTCCGTTTTGTCCTCATTTTCCACACATAATTTGTAGACTAAGTTCTCTGGCACATGGATTTGCTTCCCCATTCTGGATAAAGTATCACACACATCAGTGACACTATGAAAATAACAATTACTACAACACCTTTGCTTACATTTAACATAATAATGCTAACTGCAGGACAGCATCGGAATTTCTCTCTATTTTAAAATTCTTCAAAATCCCGAAGAACTGAGCACATTGGTTCTCTAAGTGCCGCAGATCAGTGGATAAAATGCCGGCTATATTTCCGTATTCCTGCATTCAAAATAGCCATTCACCCAGAGACTTTCGTGAAGTTCACACTGAATTGTCAACGTCTAATACTTGGAGCTTTTGAATAAATACGTGCGAAAACGTATTGCGTATACGCAGTGAAAGTCGATCGACACCGATCAACTGCAAAGCTTTTCCTCCATGCCTTGAAGTACATGGCGAAAGCGCCACAGGCGTTTATGTTTATTAAGCCAACCGCACTTGCAGAAATTAAGTTTTGGATCATAACTGCGGGTGGGCGCAGCACACGCATTGCTAAAGTCGACGTATGTAAAGACACAGAGAAACAGAATCAGGCAGACCCCCATCACCATTTCTACTCCCTGCGATTACCCACCCAGGTAGGCCCAAAGTCTTCTCCAGATTTCGGAAAAGTATCTGACTGCTACCCAAAAGGACGCCGCCCAGGTCGAACAAGACTACTAGCGGCCGCTTCCCCGCCATAGCTCTCCGAGGCGGCCGACCAGACGCTCTGAAGCAGGTTACAGTACAGCACAGTACAATACTCTCACTTAAGAGAAATCATAACACAAACCACGCCCTCCTGCAAGCCACACCTCCCCGCTGTGTAGGAACTCATTGGGCCACGCCCTCGGCGACTCACAGCGACCTCCTTGAAACCAGAGACGATAGGTCTGATGTTTCTCGAAAGTATTCTGGGTCCTAGCGCTATAGGGCTACAGGGGGGGGGGAAAGGCACAGCAAAGGTCCTCCCAGCTACTTCCTATACTGGATGAATTGGATGCCTATAAGCAACGCATGAAACAAAAGTTGGTGCTTATCTGGGCAGCTATCAATCAGATGCTTTTTCTCTGAAATGGAGATTCCATAAGTATCACTGATTGATTCATGGAGTTGGGCATGAATCTTCTGCTCAGAGGCAAATGTCCATATTACTGTAGAGTCTCAACAGATGGCTATCTAACTTTTTTCCTTAGACAGTAGTATGGCAAAGGTTAATTCTCCAACATATCCTTTGTTCTTCTGTTCTGCAAGTTAGTTTCTTTTACAATTCCTGCTGCACTTCTCCGTCTCTCTTCCCCCCCCCCCCCGCTACACTTGTCTAGGACGGTCGCGTACCACCTGCCACCGATGGTATACCACAGGTTGAAAAGTCCTGTTCTAGGGAATAGAGCAGGTCTTAATCTTCTCTGTGATAGCCTTTTGAAGAATGATGTATCCCTGAACCCAGTCTATTCCTAGTTTCTACAGACTCCATGAAACCTGATTATTCTTCTCCCTCTTTTCTGTTCAACCTGTTCAGAAAAGTCTGAATTTTACTTATTGTCTAGTACTGAACACAATGCTCATTGAGATCTGAGTACTGCATTGTAAATTGAAGCTAATCCCCCCCCCTGTGATTTTACATGTACATTCCTGTTGACCTAGGAATAAAGTGCATTTGCTAATTTTGCAGCCACACTATACTGCTCACTCACATTCATTTTGCTGTCAAGTACTCATCCAAGATCTGTTTCACAAGGATTATTACCAAGCTAGGTAACCACGATCTTATATTTGTGGACCTGACTTCTGTTTCTTAAGTAAAGAACTTTGCATTTGTCTTAGTAAAGTTTGATTCTGTAACTTTCAGTCCATTTTTCTAGATTATCAACAAAGTTTTTAGTTTTAGTTTTATTAGTAGTATTTAGCATTAGCTGTCCAACCTTTTTTGTCATTTGCAAATTTTATAAAGATTCCCTTCACTTTCTCATCCAGGCACTAATAAAATTTTTAAAGATTCCTGGAAACAGGAATGGCAGCCCATTCAGTACCTCTTGTGTTTGTTGAGGAAACATTGATGAATATCCACTTAACTGATATGTCATTCCATTCATACCAAGCTAGATACAATATCATGGATTACTGTGACAATTTTTTTTACCAGAAACATACAGTGTAAATTATGTCTATGCCATCCCCACCATCTACTAAAGTAGTTGACTCAATTTTAAAAAATATGCTAAGCTTAGTATGGCAATATTTTTTATCTCTCGTAATTACCTAATTATTTTCAATGGCTCAAATTGTGATATACTCTAGAATATTCTCAGTTACAAATTTCAGGTTTACTGGCATTTAATTCCATCAGTAATCACTTTATTCATTTACTTGGATTTCTGAATAGATTTAACATATATCTCACATATTCCTTTATTTCTATTATAACTTTTCCCTTTGAACAAATTATGTCCTTCAATGGTTATATTCCAGTCATCAGAATTGTCCTATCAAGTTTCCATTCTATTTACTGAATCATATTTTCCTTCCTGTATAAAGAGTTCAGGCTCATTAGCTTTCCATATTGTTACCATTAGTGTTTAGACATAAAGGTCTTGAAGCCAATGTTATTTCTGAATTTTCATTAAATGGTCTAGTAGGTTCCATTGAAGCAACTCTTTCTATAATGTAAGTCTTTTTCTGGAATGCTGCTCTCAAGATTTTTTCTCCATCCTTCATAGAATTCAGATCAACCTTCTCATGCTTTGGCCGAATACATGTTCACTGGAACTTCTGAAGTGAAACCCATCTTGTGCTTACAGTCGATCTTTTTTTTAATAATATTTTTTATTAATTTTCTAATTTTACATTTAGGTATTTAAAAAGCAATGTGGTGGCTGGGTTAATCAATAGTTCAGTAACATACAAAAATCTTTAGTACAAATCTCAAACTACAACCTCAAATATTTCCTCTTTTTCCCTTAATATCTACTATTTCATATTTAAGCTAACACAGTTCTTATTATATCAACTAAATAGAAACATCATTATTACGTTTATCAATAATTTTTTAGCTTATACATATCTTAATTACTTTTACATTCAATCTTTACAGTCAATCAATGTCCTGTTATTGGGGGTTTTCCCCAATTTTTAGTTTCCCATCAATATTCAAATTTAATATTTGATATTTATAATTTCCAGGTTTTAGGTAACCAAAGTTTCCTTTATCTCAATTCATAACAGAATCTAATATTCAAAATATACATCTTACCTATTTGGGTATAATCTTGTTCTATTTCTTAAAAGTTATCCATTTCCCATCAATAAATCAAACATATTCATAATTTTTTTTCTTTTGGGTATAATTTTTCAGTATTAAACAAATAGCATCCTTATTTTCAACTGATTTCCAAATGCTTTAAATTTAATGACCAAAATTTCCCTTATCTTAACTTCTCCCTTTGACCCTCTAATTTGTAATATAAAATCCTCTCTGATAAATCAAAACCCTAATTTTCTTCAGCCTTATTCTTGCTTTCTTTCTTTGCCAGCTAGCCTTCCATGTCAACGCTTTTAAATCATCAAATAGATCTCCCTCTATTATTATATATATATTGTTTGGAATAAGAGAGACCATTTAGTTGTCATTTTTTGGGAAGGGCTAGCCCATTTGTATTCCTTAAATCATCTCCCTATTATTCCAAATCCCCATAATTGTCCTGGTATGTTTATCTTCCATTCAGTCTATTATTCTTCTTGCTCCTCAAATTTCTTCTGATTTATATAGAAAGTCTTTTCCATTTTCAGTGTTGTCAGTCCCTTTTTTGGATATTCCATTGACTGTATTTGTTGGTCAATTGAGTCCTCTGTCTTAGTATTTGATTGTTCCAGTTCTTCTGTTACCTTCTGCATTGTTAGTTTTTTAGTTGTAGTCAGAATTTGGGTTTGTATATCTAAACTGACATCTTGTTCTTTTCTGTAACATCTTATTTCGTCACAAGCTGAAAGGATGGTTTCATGTATTGCTTTTAACATGGAAAAAATCTTTTTCTGGTCTTCATCTGTCTTCTTTTAATGGTGCGTTAAGTTGAAGACTTTGAAATCAGACAATGAAAATAATTTTATAGCTGGGTATGGGACCTCTATTTCACATGTTTGTAGGTAGTCTTTATAGTAAAAGTCGTTTGTCAAGTAAGATTTTATAATCCAAGGTATTTCATCATCTCCAGTAATGACCAATATTCCTCAGATAAAAAAGTAGGAAGGCAATTCCCCATATACAGCTCTAAAAATCAATAAAGGTTTACATGCATAGTTCAAGGAGGCCAGCCATGCCACCCAGAAGTTCTCTTTACAGCTGAACTTCTCACAGGTGGTGTTTATCAAAGTTAAAAGAGTCTTATCTGTAGTCTGGGCTTCAAGCCAAGTCTTCTTTAGGCAATAACAAGTTGTAATACCAAGCTTCACCACAAGATGTCACCAATGCCGCTTAAGGTTTTTTAAGTCCAAATTTTTTCCAATTTTATTTTTATTTTATAGATAAAAACAAAAGTCTACAGTGAAAATAAGAAAACTTTTGGGCCCCAAGTTTCAGAAACATATAAATCCAATTAGATTAAAGTTATTCTTTTAGTTCTTTAACTCCCCTGGGTAGTCAGTCGCTGCTATTCTTAGAGGGTGGGATAGAAATTCCCTTCCCTCTCTCCTCACAGGGGGAAAGATACTTTTGGCAGCTTTTATAGGAAGAAAAATACTTAGGAACTTACAGAGGAGATCGGATCTCACCCAGTTTCATCCGCGTTGCTTTAGAAGTGCCTGGTGGTAAGTTTGACTTCGGCTGTCTGCAGCCTAGTGACGAGCCATATCGCTATGGCTGGTCTTTCCTCCGCCGGTTTGGAGGGCTGTCCCAGATCAAGCGGAACGGCTGCCGCCCTCCCACGATCAAGTGGGGGTCCCCTCCTTACTCGTTGCCCCTACAGGGCAACTTTTGACCCTTTCCAGGGTCCCCCAGTGGAACAAAACCGAACACAGAAGACGGAGCTGCCCCAGCGTCTGTGGCAGCTGCGATGGCAAACCACACAGTCCATCTTTTAGATGAC